ATCTCCATCTCCATCTCCATCTCCATCTCCATCTCCATCATCCCCATCCCCATCTCCATCATCTCCATCTCCATCTCCATCTCCATCTCCATCTCTGCCTGATCTTACATATTGCTATCTCTCTCTCTCTGCCTCTCTCTAGATTTCTCACTTCATAGCCCTTGGATTCCCTCCTGATCTCTCATCTGAGTCCTAACCAGGCCTGAGCTGGCTTAGTTCTTAACCCAGATAAGGCCAGCTACCTACCCAAGTGTTAAATGCTAGAATGAGGAACTTGTGGACCCTGTTTTTGAGCTTATAGTTGTACTCTGCGCCAACTCGCATAGCTGTTTCCTACTGAGGAAGCAAATCTCCGGTGCGCTCCAATGCGTGTCCTCCACTGCAGAGCACTGACTTACAGCCCTGTTGCCAGCCAAATGTTTTTTCATAGACTTGTCAGTTTAAATATGCAGTGTTCTTAAGCCTAGCTCCTGGTGTTTATAGGAAGTCCCAACACCTTCCCTGGTGCAAACAGGGGTTAAATTATTCCTTGTTCTATTTATATTTAAATGATCTGTTTTTACGAGAACTTGTGAGGCAGGAGTGTCAGACGGGCTGGGAGAACAAGGCAGCACATAATAAAGGGAAGAGGTGCTGGTGGCCGAGAGGTGAGAATTGTCAATTAACAAGGCAGGGGTGAGGAAGAGGGAGGCATTTGGCTACCCAGCTGGACTGGTGACAAGAAGGACGCCACTGCAATCACAGGGCAGAAGTGACGGCCAGCCGTGGAATCGGTCGCTTGCATTGCATTATCATATAAATGAATGTCAGCTTTTCTGACTGGGAGGGAGGGATGCAAAAACAAGGCTAAGAATTAAGAGGAAAATAAAAGAGTTCCAGAATAATTAAATAACAGGAAGGAAGGAAGGAAGGAAGGAAGGAAGGAAGGAAGGAAGGAAGGAAGGAGGGAGGGAGGGAGGGAGGGAGGGAAAGAAGGGTAATGATCATGAATACAGGACAAGGGGAAGTTTTACTGCCCTTTATGAAGCGTCAGACTGTTTTGATCATGATCATGATTTATTTACCTTAGTTTGCATTTTTTTCTGGGATGCCACAAAGCCTACTTTCATCCCCAACAAAAGCCACAATGCCCTGGCCTATCTTTCAGTTTTGTCTGCATTTCTAAACAAACAAAAGCCCAAGAGGTAGCAAGGCACTTAAAAATAAAATCCCCCAATAACAGCTCCCAGACACAAGAACAATTGATTCTGAGAAAATGCTACATAGCGGGGTTTCACAACACCCAGTATTCGGCTTCTAGCAGCAGGGACCTTCCAATCTTTTCTCCTGACCTTTAGCCCTCTGCATTCCAGCCCATTCCAGGCATTCAACTAACTTAACCAAGAATCGATGCAGCCTGAAATTAGCAAAGAAATGTATTTTCCTCCTTTCTCCTTAAATCACAGGTTTTTTTCTTTTTACATTGCTTTGCCATTAAAGCTTCCAATAGGATATGCAGCTAGTTGCAAGCAAGTGATTTACTGGAGAAATTTCTTGTTCTTTTGGTCTTCCTGATTTTGAGACATCACGAGTGAGAAAGACCCGAGTGTAAGAAGAAAGGGACAGGAGGATTTCCGCAGAATGACTCCACCAACGTGCATTTTGAACTTTTAAGTTATTCTTTTCTCTGCCAAGCCTGTCACAAAAGGTGGATCACGTTTCCTCAGAAACCCCACAAAAAACTGAATCTTGTTGGCTTCTGTGGAAGAGCTGTGAAGAGGGCTTCAAAAATAGTTGGAAATTGCAGAACAGCCAGGATATTGAGCACTTATTTTTTGGCAGCTGAATCAGTGGCACCAAGAAACAAGATGGCAGATGGATGTTGCAGAAATGGGAATCTGAAATATTGCAGGAAAGACAGAGGAAGCTCTAGAAAAAAGAGCTTTGCCACCAAGTACTGGAGACAGGTAATATTCTTGAAAACCCAAAATTTATCAACACAAAGGAACTAACATGCTTAAGAGGTAGAGCTGCAAAATGTGCATTCTTGCAATGATTGAATGTATTTAGGAGCAGGGATTCTGGACAAATGATGCAAAGACCCAGATCTCTTGAAAAGTCCATGAGAAGAATGGAAGGAAACAGGGTGACCAACAGCAATGTGGATGGGCTCAGTTACAGTGATGAGTTGACTTAGTTTTTTTTAAAGTAATTTTATTAAAGATTATAATTACAACAATAAAAACTAATACATACTAAAAAATAAAATAATAAAAAGAAAAAGTAGAAGGTGCAGAAAAGAAAGAAAAAATAGAGAAATAGAAAAGAAAGAAAAAAAATAAGAATATAGTAAAGAAAAAGAGAGATATGTAAAGATGTGACTTCCCCCTTCATTACAACAAATATAAACAATTTTAGTAACTTATCACCTTCTCTTAAAATACAACAAATGATCTTTTCCTATCCCATCTCCTATCTATAAACAAATCCTTAAAACCTCATCATTTCAGTCCTGATGTCAACAAAAGTCCATTAAGGGTTTCCAGAGATAACAACATATCTATTTTAACCTTGATCAAATAAACCAACTTTATATTCCTTCTTTTAACTTCTAACGATCTTGATCTTTGGTCCCTTCAAATAATGTCATAGAACTTG